CTGACGATTTCCCTATAGGAGTCAAAACAGAGTGAGGACACAAAGGCTTTATAAAAGAAAATTTTGGATTAATTGAAAATTATAATTATGGAACCCATAAGAACAGCCTGACTGACCTTTCTGTGGGCTTTAGAGATTGTGAATTTCTCAACAGATAATGCATCAGCTTTGGGTGGGAAGCTGTGATGAACGTTTGAGTGAGAAAATATGTGTCTGAGTTAGAGCATCTGCTTTCATTACTTAGTTTTCGAGAGGACATTGCAAGTCAAGGAAACGAGTGGGTTTTATCCTGGAAAGGATCCAAGGGAAATTAGATCTTCCTAAGAAGACAAAGGAAGAACAGATTTCAGCAGTTCTGAGGAGGGAGCTGTGGGCGAGACTGAGTGGAGTGAGGACTTGCTCTGTTGGCCAAGGGTAAGCTCTGCTCATCTGTGGACAGTGCATCTTCCTTCAGGAACATGGTGATTCATTCAGGGTTCAGAGTGAATCTGTTTAAAATTCTCAGACTAAAATCTTCCCAAACAAGGTGCCCTAAGAGAATATCTCTGCTTTAGATATCTGTGTTTAATGGGAATTTCCTGGAGAAAAGGCCTCCATGGGACATTCACAAAAGCTTGGAAGAAAGAGCACAGTGGAAGTGTGGAGAACAAAAAGGAACCGGACTTGGGTGGAGAATTGCAGATTTAAAGTTTGAGGAAGAGTCTTCATAAGGAGACTACATCTCAGAGTCAAATGATTTCATTAATGATTCATACCTTCAGAAAGAGAGGAGGGAATTTGTATACCATTCAGAGTTCATATATTTCTATAATTTAAAAAAATAAAATGGGACACCTAGTGCAATAATGACGAATAGGGTATGTGTTAATATACATATGGAAATCTGTCACACAACGGAGACAATCAGGCTGATTTCCATTCCTTCTTTATTCAGGGGCTAAGACTAAAGATGGATGCATGCGGTGGAATGGAGAAAGAGGGGAAAATGGGATACTTCTGGGTGAATCAGATAAAAGGCTGTTTTGCTTTTTTTGACTGGATTGCCTATGTATGGCAGGCTCTGGGGACCTCATAGTATCAGTATCTTCTCGTATTTGCTAAAGTCAGAGTCCTTTCTGGACACTACCTCCTTCTCTGTGTATCTGTGTGTCTTTAACCAATAACATTTACACAACCAACTTAGGTCTCCAGGCTTTCTGCTTACCGTTTCCTATGAAAACTCCAGTACTCAACATTTATCATCATAGCCACCAGTATGCTAAAATATAAAGTGAACAAAGTGGAATTAAAGGTTTTTTCATTCCTATTTTACTGGAGTCTTCTGATAAGACCTTCTCATCACCTTCTTCAGGGAACCCAAGTTGAGCTCTCCTCCCTTGACATATGTCACCCATCAGTTATCCTCTTCTCGGCCTCATCTAAATATGTAAGTTCTGTGGCCTATGCCTTTGGTATCTTGTTAGGTTTACTCAATCTTATCTGATAAATAAAGTTAAGATGCTATTAACTGATAAGGATCTTTGGGTAAGTTTGTCTTTTTCTATAAGTTTTTATTTATATGGGCCTGGAGATCCTGCGGTAGGGTCCAGTAGGACAAGAGCGTCCTTGCCTTCCTCCCCATCATCATTTTAACTACTTTGCTTACAAGGAGCTTTGGCCTTCTACTTAAAGTCCATGAGATTGTATAAAACCCCCAAAGCAGTGCCTTCTTTAAAAAAAATTATCATCTTCCAAAATAATGCTTTTTTTAATAGCTGTGGTCTTACACAAACCTAGTATTAGGGTTAAAGGAAAGTAAATAGTAAATCTAAGTAAAATTATCCTGTAAGGTATCCAGCTTTACAAAAACATGAACTCTCCTTGGCTTCATGTTCCTGGTGTTTCATTTGAAATTTTTGTAGATTCTACTTTTGAAGACTGAGTGTATTTGTTATAGATAAACATAGTCTCTGGAAAACTTGCCTTGAGAGAAGCTCAATGCAAAAAAGCCTTGTTTCTAGTAAGATGCATGATTCAAGAAATTTGCAAAATGCTCTAGATGCTATCTAAATTTTGTGGATTTGCAGTGGCATTAGTGTAGTAAAGTCTCTGAGAAGTCCTGTGGTGAAACACCTGTTTGAACTTGCTTAATTCAGCGTTTCCTAAAAGTGTAATTCCTTTGTGCACAACATTCCAGGGAGCTAGTGTTCCAGTTAACACAATTGTGGAGGATGGGGCAGGGCATGATTCTGTATCAATTACTTCTGTAGAAAAAAAGGGAGACAATGCTGTGTTGGAAAATAATGTAAGCAGCACCAATAAACTCACCTATTTTTAAAATTCATTTATTTACTCATTAAAAATTCACTAAACACCTACCACGTAAACAAGACTGAATCAGGAGTTGGGAAGCTTCCTTAAAAAACCCGATTCTTGTCTTGAGGTTCTTATAGGCATGTTGGGACACACTTTGATAATAAATGTATTCTGATCTACACTTGTGTGACTGAGTCAATGATCAATTGCAGGAAATACGGGATGTTGATGACTACTGCCTCATCTAAGCCACATTTTATGGCAACATCCAGATTTGGTAAACTAAAAACCAATAAAAAACATTGCTTCAAAGACCTTTCATTCTGTTAAAGTCTTAAGCTGGAAGTGATGTTTATTTTCTCTGATATTGAGGAAAGAACACAGGGCTTGGACTCAGAAGACTTTGATTTGAATCCTCCCTCCATCTTTGATAGCCTTGTGGTTGATGACATCTTTAACACTGCTGAGGTACCAGACACTGAGGATCCAGTTATTAATATTTACCTGGAATGAATCTGGGAGGATCTTGAGAAGATCTAATAAAAATACTATGTCCTTCATAAAGTGTAAAATTCTTTACCGATGTTAGGCATTGCTTCTATTATTTTTCCTTTTATTACTCTCGGACTAATCAAAATAATCAACACGTGAGGTATTGTCTTAAATGTTTTCCATTTATTTTCTCTCTTAATCTTTACAAAAACCCCAAGTGTTAGATACTATAATTATTCCATTTTACAGATGGGAAAACTGAGGTTTACAGAATTTAAATCATGGGTTTTAGTAAAACATCTGCAAATTTTCAGTGTACTAGGCCTGCCCCATACTCAGCAACTTTGGAATTCATTCTCTCATTCAACTAATATTAAGCACCTATCATGTGCTGTGTATTGTTTCAAGTTCTGTGTACACAGCCGTGAATGAAATGAACTAAAATGTCTATCCTTGTAGAATTTAAGATCTAGTGAGGAAGAGAGACAATAAACATAATAAATATGTTAACTATGTAGAATATTAGAAGCTGATGAGGGCTATGGAGGAAAAATAGAATAGGACAAGAGGTAATTGAGAGTGTGGGGAGAGGGAGAGAAATAAAATTTTAAATAAATTGGACAAGGTTGCCTGTTGGGATGGTGACTGTTGAGCAAAGATTTGAAGGAGGTGAGGGAATGAGTCATAGGGATACCAGAGAGACGAGTGTTCTGGTCAGAGAGGACAAATGGTGCAAAGGTCCTAAGATGTGAATATATTGGGGGAGAGTAAGAAATAGATCAGAGAAGCTAGAGTGGATAGGGCCTGTAGACCACTGCCCAGGCTCTGGCTTGCACCATTCATAGAATGGGAGACATGGAAAGATTTTGAGCAGAGGAGTGACATGATTTGATGTATATTTTAAAAGAATCACTTTGACCATTTTGTTAAGAGTACACTGTGGGGGTTAAAAGTGGAAGCAGGGAAATCAAAAACTGCTCATTCCTGGTACAGAATGAAGGGAATTAGAACGTGCTTCCAAATCTCATTTAGTATACATTAAACTCAGTTAGTTTATTTTCCATATAGCAAAATGAGTAAGTTGGGAGGCCTGTTTGAACACCTATTTATCTTGGCCAAATACTTTCTCCTAGCATCTTGAAGTCATTTATTTGGCCATGTTGGTGCTATAACCAAAATGAGTTTTTCTATAATAGTGACATAAATCCTGGAATTCCAATAGAAAATTGGATTAAATAGGACTTTTTTTTTCTTGTGGGTGGTATATTCCAACTACTTCTTATCAAAACCAGTATAATTTCCAGTATAGACTAGGTAGTGATTTGAAAGCATCATCTATCTAGATTCTGTCTAAAAGTAGAATATAGATTAATAGTGGACTATGATCAGAAGCAATATCATTCTAATATGCAGAATTAGGATCAGAATCATGATCTTTTAAAAACAAGGCATGGAAAACTGACAGTGAGAATTTAAATTCATTTTGAATAACTATTGATATTATTATCCAATCTCTAACCTTTAGATGCACACAATTGAGCCTGGATGAAGAATTTGATGCTGTTTTTCTTATTGAGGTGATAGAACTGGAAATCACATAAACTTTAGTAAGCTTATTTATGGATATTCAAGTAACTTTATGGACCATGCTTGGGTTAATGATAGGGCAGAAATGCTATTAAAGCAGAATACTATTAGTTAATCCACTGATGATGTGCATTAGTGATACTTGAAAAGTTATACAGTAGTAGGACTTTTGTAGTATTAGCTCATTCCTCTATTAAGATTTATAGATGTTTTATATGAACTTATGATTCTCCGTTCATTCTCAGTGAATGACTCAGATCCCTTTAACTTACTAGGAGACATGCTCAAGAAGGCTTTCTGTAAATGAAACATGACTGCCTTGTTTTCTTTCAAAATGCGATGCAGTTACATTGGAATTACAAGTCTACTGTGTGACCAAGAAGCATCCTCAGTCGAAATACAGATTGAACATTTTATTAGAAATGCAAATCAGATTTTTTATTTACTCAAGCATTCATAGTTGGGAGTAAAAGGGCGACAGAGATGAGACTATTCAAGAACATATTGAATTAATCTGAGGTCCTTTCCCTTTGTATTTGATTAATCTTTTGCCAACAATTGACCAATGTCTTTGTGGAAGATATGCTCAGACAATGACGATCAATTACCTTTTAGAAATATCTGTGGTGCTCATCTCTATAGCACTTATACTAAAAAATTAGAATGATACAGAGAAGACTAGCATGGCCCCTGTGCGAAGATAACATGAAAAATTTTGAAATATTTCATATTTTTAAACTAAAATAATTGTGGTAATCATTTTATAATATACACATATACTAAATCATTAAGTTGTACACATTAAACTTAAGCAATGTTATGCATCAATTATATCTCAATAAAACTGGAAAAAAGAGAAATATTTGTGTTTGGAGACTGGAAGGAGAGCCGAAGGGTCAGGTAAGGCAGTCTCATCTTTGAGACTATAGTCAGAAATTTTGCAAGAAATTGAAAATGCAAAATGCTGTATTAAGCACATGTGTAGCTACCTGAAATCTGGCATCATTTTAAAACAAAGTGATTAAGAGGGTATAAATGTTAGTATTCTATTGCTATCCCTGCCACCACAAATCTACAGCCTACTATTTTCCTTCTATACGTTTCCTAATGATGCTTCTGTTGATAGAAAGCCCCAGTCATTTTTTATTAATGGATGCTGTGACTTCTTCCCACTCTCTTTCCATTGGCACAGCATTTACTGATTAGGGATGCTGGGTGAGTCAGAATATTCCTTGCATAATGATTGGTTACTTGGAATGGGTACCAGCTCTTCCTTTGTGATAAAGAACAGTGTATATAAATAAGGGTAAGAGATTTTCTTGACGTTCAAGGTCTTTGGTCTTGGAGTTACAGACTATAAATTTCCTGGGCCACATTCTAGATGCAGAACTTCCACTGAAGTCAACAGAAGTTTTGTAAAAAAATAATGGCAGGAAATTGCACTATTATTATTTATTACTATTTCTTTTTGATCGCTCTGAAGATAATTTGGTGCGTAAAGTATTGTGGAAGTTTTGAGTTTTCCAGTGACTCATTTTCATGCAAATGTTTATCACATTTCTGGGTATTGTTTTCTTCTATCATATATATTTCCATCTTCCATGAGTAAATCAATATCTTCATCCATATTGCACATTCAGTGGCTGTAAATTCAGCATATATTCTCATTAAATGTTACGAATATGTGATTTTCATTTATGATTTCAGTGGGTGTTTCTGAAATTTCCACAGCAGCATCTGGCCAAGAAATATTGTCTGTGAATCAGAATTATAACACCTAATTTTATTTTTCTTCTGTGTCTTCATTTCTCTAATCTTTTCCTAGTAAACAGGAGGCAATTTAAATTCTTTTCTATCCTAATTCTCAGAGATCCCTCTCATGTACAGACTTTAGGTTTGAGTTTGCTTTTTCTGTTATGCATGGTTCAGGGAACAATGGAAGCAAATCTTGAGTCCCCTCCGCTTCCTTACTGCGAATACTCCTACCTAGGCCACCGCCGTGGTTTAATCAGACCCATGCAAGTGCCTCCTAAGAGGTTTTTCACTATTTCAGCTTCAGTTCCTTATAATCTCTCAATGCTGATGTTAGAATGATCTTTGAAAAATGCAGAGATGATTCTGCCTCTCCCTGCTTAAAAATCCTTTTTAATTTCCTTAGAATAAAGACCAAATGTTTGAACATAGGTCAAGGAGCTCTACATACTCTGGTCTCTACCTGCCTCTCCAGATAATTGTCCCACTCTCTTCCTCACTCTATGCTCTAATCTCAGGGACTTGCTTTCAGATCCCCACATCATCACTTTCTTTCAGCTCCAAGCCGTTATACAGGCTCTTTCCTTTGCCTGGCCCGCTATTCTATTCCACATGCTCCTCAAGATATCCTACCCATCTTTCAATTCTCAACTTAAACGTCGTTCTTCTGAATGGCCATTCCTACTGCTGTCAATGGGCTCTGCATTCCCACAGGATCCTGCATGTGACCTTTCAAAATAGCCATTACATCTGTAACTTTTTGTTTAACATCTATCTTCCCCACTAGATTGCTATCTTTATGAGGCCAGTGACTATGTATATGTTGTTTATTGCTCTATTCCCAACACCTTGCACATAAAAGTGTTTGGCACCAAATAGATATGTAAGAAATGTTTGTTGACGTCTCTTTCGTCCTAATTCCATTGGTGTTCTCAGTTATTCTTTCCCACTGCTGTAATTGGATGCATGTCCATCCCTTCCTAAGGAGATGGTGAGACACTCTTTTTTTGAGCATCCCACAGATACTCATTATCCTTTATCCTTTTTCTCTGGAGCTACTTCTCGATGTGAATTTTCACCTTAAGAGCTTATTCTACTTTGGAGTGACTGAAACAGCCACATGTGAGTGGGAGATCACTATCCTGGCAGATGGGAAGCTTAAGTTTGAATTTGCCTATAACATTAGTTGGGCTTTTAACTCTAGGCAAATTGTTTAATCTATCTGATTATTATTCTAATAGGCCACAAAATGAGATGTACAGACTAGACTAAATCTATAGGCTCCTCTCTGATGCTAAGAAGTTATTTTGTACACTGTAGGGAAGAGTTAGCTTACTGTCCTGGAGTGCAGAAGAGAAAATGATTGAAAGGTGATCAAATGGAAACTCAGCATGTCTTCATAGATTGAATATTAGATTGTGAAGGCCAAAGAAAAGCTGTTTCCTCCAACATCTGCCCTACCTTTTCTCCATTCTTTTGTGATTCGTAGCAGCTCTGGGCAGTTGTGGTTTGGAGAGAGAGCTAATGGTGGACCCACATGGAACATTTTCTCAGAAATAAAGTGGCTAGCCAGGATAGTGTATGGCCACATGGTGGAGGTGTGTGTGTGAGTGTGTATGTGTGTTTGGGGGAGAGATGATTGTTATTGTCTACCATCCAATTATTAGTATCTTTATTTACCTAATAGCCACATTGCTAAAGCATGTTTAATGTATAATTAGTAAAAGAGCATAGGATTTAGAATTACACCAGGGTTTAAACTAAATTCCAGCCCCATCATTTTGTGGTGTGTGTGTGTGTGTGTGTGTGTGTTTGTGTGTGTGTAGAGAGAGAGAGAGAGAGAGAGAGAGAGAGAGAGAGAGAGAGAGAGAGAGAAATCCAAAGCAATTAATTTATTTCTGAGTCTCAGTTTCCTCCTCTACATATTTAAAGTAGTAACTATATCCTGGAGTTGTTTAAAATTTTAGAAGAAAATATTTACAAGACGAGGTATTTTTGTCAATTTAGCATGCCTTTCACTTCTTTCAATAACACCATTCTCCCCCAGAGGAACCACTCCCCAGTACACAGATCATGTCTGTCATGTAAGGGACTGCCAATCAAGTAGTAACTGGCTGTTCTACGAAAGCCCACCTCCCACTCTCCTTAAAACAAAGAATCTGTAGATGAACTGAGCCTAACCAACCAGTGTATAGCTCTGGATCTTTAAAATTGAGGCCAGGGTGAGCCTTTCTGATGGTGAAGGCAAGAAAATGCAAACTCAGAAGCTTCGGAAACTGGGGTCCTAGCCTCTCAGAGAATCCTGATTTAAAATAGAAGACATGAATAGATGTAAAGTAACAATTAGAGAAGAAGGATCCTGGTACTATCAGATCTTTGGTTCTAGGCATTCCCAATTACATTCTTACTTTTCCTTGTCATATGAGTCAATACATTTATCTTTTTGCCTAAGGCAGTTCAAATTGCATGCCTGTAATTTACATATCAAAGAGTCAAGACTAATAGAATAGCATACTATATAGATCCTGAGGCGACTTTACTTCTCTTCTTCACACAAATATGATCTTATTTTGTTTCTTTTTAGGATTGGTATAAGCATCATGAGTTGAAAAAATCAAGAGTTTCTATATTCTGAAATTCAAGTTTTTAATAAATCAGTGACCTCTCCTTCTACTTTCCTCCACAGGTTTAATTACTAATTCAAACAGTATTTTTCATACTTTGAGACTTTAAAATTATAATAGGTGTGGATACTTAAATATGCTAATATACACTATTGTCAAAGTGTAAAATTGGCACCATATTTCTAGATGGCAATTTTGAAATAAGTATCCAAAAGTTTTCATACTCTTTTACTCATCAATTCCACTTCTACTACTCCATCTTATGAAAAACAAGCCTGGATGTGAACAATGATGTAAGTGCGTATTTAGTTATCATAGCTTAATTTTTAAGAATGAAAAATAAAACAATTTAATGAGTGTCCAAATCTTAACAGTTACTTAAATTCCATGCAGCTTTTAAATAATTTTTGGAATATTTGACATGAGAAAACTCTGATGATATATTTTTCAGTAAAAATAAAGAAGCCATGAAAGAGTACATACAATATAATTCTGATTTGCAATATACATCCACAGAATCACACAAAGAGTACATGTGTGTGCTCAGAGCTACACACATATCAACAGTGGTTCTCTCCTAGGCAATGGGATTACTAGGATGGAAGATATTGTGACTGACTCCTCAGCATCCACCCTATTATCCCTTTTACCTCTACAGCAGCCAAGGTGAGACTGACCTTCACCTTAAGTTCTACAGGTGGCCCATCACTGAATGATGTCCGTCAGAATGATCCCATCCCTCTAGTTACGGTTATTAGTTTAGAGGTGGACACATAATTCAGGCCTGAGCCATTTAGTAGAAAACATTAAATTGGCATTAATGTCCGGTTCAGAGGTAGGCATATAATTTTATTTGATCCAATCAGAAATTGTTGAAAGAGTTTTTGTTGGATAGGAGGCATCTATTTCTTCTCCCTGACTATGGATAAGAAAACATGAAGTCCTAGGTGATACTGGGAGAGATTTTGTGACCATAAGGGAAAGCTGGCCTTAAGGTGAACTGACACACAGAAGAGAGAGTAGAGGTGGCATGAGACCTTATAACTGGTGTCATTGTCACATCTCTCACTCAGAACAGCACTAAAGTCTACTCTAATTTTAGAATGAGCTAACATATTCCTAATCATTTAGGCTAGATGGCATTGAGGTTTTCATTACATGAAAATAGACCAAACTTAGATAAAGTGATTTTTATTTTATCTTTTATGTTTTTCAGTATTTTGTAAAGATTTTCTGCACTGAACACATGTTGCTTTTATAATTAGAAAAGGTTATTTATTTTTTAAAAAAATTACTACTAGTTAAAAACTGGCAAAGACTCATTAAGTCAGTGTGTATTCTTTTCTCCTTACTTCTCTC